TCCTGGGCCTGGGTCCGAGGCCAGGACGGCCCAGAACAAGTGGCGGCACAGAGCAGGCAGGCCCCATGGGAAGGGTTATCTAGAAAGCACCATCTTCAACCACCCAGTCAAGGATGTGCATACCTGGAAACGTGATACCTGGAAATATGTTAAGGCCAGAGGTCAAGAAAAGCAGAATTGTTTATAGAACTAGGGAGTGATATGAAGGGCTATCCCATGGATGGGAAGTTAGGTCAGCGGCAAAGAAGATGGCAAGAACAGATGCTGGTGAGGTCGGAGGGTTCAAAAGGGGCACCCCTCTTCCCTAGGGCTGTGAACTCCTCACACAGACACAGCCCCTGGTCTGCCTTTAAAGCTCTACCACCCAGCACAAAGGCAGGCACACGGGCCATGTTCTACGTACCCGTGAGTGAATTCAGAATGGCCCTGGCTCATCACGACGCATTAGGGGGACCCAGCCAGACAGTCCTGCAGACACAGCCTTAAACCAAGAACGACCGGGATGGTCACCTACCTGTTCCTCCTTTGAACTGTGTTGGGCGCGCTATTTATGGTTGTCCTCAACTGTGTTTCCCTTGCAGAGCCTCGGGCTGTGCGATCAGCTTTAGCATTTCCTTCAACTTTGGGAATCTTTCTTAAGGCCCAGGGTACACTCCAGATGAGGACACATTTCCCTCCCTGGCTATCAGAGAGTCTAAGGCCTGGGTACTTATAATAATACTCCTGCTTCTTTCACTTCGGCAGCCAATTCCTGCTTCTGTGAGTCCGTTTCTACCTCATTTGAAAATACAGCAATGCCTGATTCATGTGTTCATGATGTATATTAAAAGAATGGCAATTAAACCACCTCCTCAGGCAGATTCCCTAATCATGTGAAAAAAGGCATCATTTAAATATCCTACATGTTACACTCTGGTGAGTCTATACAGGAATCCAAGGCTAAGCTAGTTGATAAAAACTTGACACAGTCAGAGGTTAACCTGTGCTCAGCAGAATTCCAGTGACAGCATTAAGCTAAAAGCCACAGCTCAAATCTTAACTTGGCAGCAGTCGGTCAAACGGAATAGAGTAAGAATAAGAAAAACCGTATCACAGCCAGTGTGTCTCTTGGCAGGCAGAGAGGGTCTGGCATCAGTGACTCATCAGGCTTCAGTCTGTCAAACACAGCACTTTTGATAAAAGCAGATGCTTTGTTTGGCTGGTGTCTATTTGCCCTTCCTCACTCCCCCAGCCCCATCCCCCCTCCCCCGCCCCGCCCCCAGCCGCTCCTCATCCTCTCTAAAACAGTGTGTCTGTCAAGGTTTCTTCTCAACTAATTGAAAGGCAGAATAAGAGTGGTGTGGCTTTGAGATAATGTCCTCAAGACCTCTAAAAGGAAAGATTTCACCAAGCCAGACATACAACACATGCCCTCAACCTGCCTTCCAGGGCAGGCAGCCATCCTCAAGGCGGGCTGCCCACCCAAACCTTGGAAAAGCAGCCATCACCCCTTGGGCAAAAGATGTCCCCCATGGTCATCCATTTACCTCCTCTGTCCATAGAGTCATCAGGGACCATGTGAGACCCCCGTAGGGAAGCATCATCACTGTGCTGACACAAGCCCACAGAGAGGGTAGCCCTGGGGACATGTCTGCTTTAATTAAATCAAAAACGTTTTATAAAGAGACTCAAGTAATGAAAAAATATGTTTTGTTTTATTATATGCTTAAAAGATTAGATCATTTCCTGTTGAATTTTGTCTCTCATCTTAAGAAGAAAACCCTTCCTTTGACTAGTACCCCTACGCAGCTCCTGCCTCATTTCTCTGCTCCCCTCCAAACCCAAGGCTCAGCCTCCATGGCTGGCTCCTTGGAACAGATGTGGTGGGGTTCCCTCAGGGCTGGGTCCTAGAGTCCCTTTCCTTTATGCTTTACACAGCTCTCTCCCTTGGTGAGGACATCTGCTTCCGTGGGTTTAATTTCACGTCTATGCAGACTCCTAACTTTGTAACTTCTAGCACAGATCTCTCTCCAGAGCTCCAGGCTCATAACACTGACCGGTTAACGCCTCCACTTGACATGCGTGCCTCTTGAACTTAGCACACCCCAAACAGAAGTCTCAGTCTCTGCCATCCACCAAACAAACGAAGCCCTGTTCCCCTCCCAGTCTTTCCAATCTCAGTAAATGGCCCCACCTCATACACCCAGTTGCCTGAGCCATGCCTGGCTGTACCCCTCCCTCACCCCACATCCCACCTTCAGGAAGTCCCATAGACTCTACCTACCAAATAGATCTTGCGTGAATCCACCCCCTTTTACCTCCTCCACCACTGTCCTAGCACAGACCTCCGCCTGTTTCCCATGCTTTTGTGACCACTTCCTAACCCCCCCTCCAGTCCCTCTGCCCCATCAATCTCTTCTCCACAGAGGCCAAGTGATATTCTAAAAACTGAATCAGATCACATTATTCCCTTACTTAAAACCCTTGAAAGGCCTCCCTTTGCCCTCAGGAGAAAACCTAAACAACTCACACCAAGATGTAGACCAGTACCATCCAACAGAAACACAATGTGAAAACCATATGAAAAAATTTTTTAAAGATTTTATTTATTTAACCACTTTTTTTTTTTTTTAGATTTTATTTATTTGCGAGAGAGAGAATGAGAGACAGAGAGAATGAGAGACAGAGAGCATGAGTGGGAAGAGGGTCAGAGGGAGAAGCAGACTCCCTGCCGAGCAGGGAGCCTGATGTGGGACTCGATCCCGGGACTCCAGGATCATGACCTGAGCCGAAGGCAGTCGCTTAACCAACTGAGCCACCCAGGCGCCCAAAGATTTTATTTATTTAATTGACAGAGAGAAACAGCGAGAGAGGAAACACAAGCAGGGGGAGTGGGAGAGGGAGAAGCAGGCTTCCTGCCAAGCAGAGAGCCCGATGTGGGGCTCGATCCCAGGAGCCCAATTCTTCGGTAAATATTTATTGAATTTATTTTGTGCCAGGCATGAAGCTGGGTACCAAGTGCCCACAGAGATTGAAATAGGTACGGGCCCTGTCCTTAGGCAGTGCCCAGTTTAGGGGGCATGCAGACAAATGTGTCAATAAATACAGAACCACAAAATGAGGAGATCCAAGAGTTTCTTGGATTGGGTGGAGGGAAGGCCTCACTGAGGGAGGGAACATTTGAAGATTTAATATAAAAAGAGAATGTAAGGGGCGCCTGGGTGGCTCAGTCATTAAGCGTCTGCCTTTGGCTCAGGTCATGATCCCAGGGTCCTGGGATCGAGCCCCGCATTGGGCTCCCTGCTTGGCGGGAAGCCTGCTTCTCACTCTCTCACTCCCCCTGCTGTGTTCCCTCTCTCACTGTGTCTCTCTCTGTCAAATAAATAAATAAAAATCTTAAAAAAAAAAAAAAGGAGAGAATGTAAAATACTTCACTTCATTAATATTTATTATGTTACTATATATTAAAATGGTATTATTTTGAATAAAATATTGAAGTTAATTTTACCTATTTCTTTTTAATCAGTACTAGAAAACTTAAAATTACATTTTTTCATATGTGAATAAAGATGTGGTGTGTGTGTGTATACACACACACACAGGAATATTACTCAGCCATCAAAAAGAATGAAATCTCATTTGCAACAACATGGATGGAAGTAGAGGGTATCATGCTAAGCAAAATAAGTGAGTCAGAGGAAGACAGTTATATGATTTCACTCATGTGGAATTTAAGAAACAGAACAAATGAGCGAAGGGGGAAAGAGTCTGTCTCTCTCTGTCAAATAAATAAAATTTTTTTAAAATATTAAATAAATAAATATTTACTGAAGAATAAATAGCGAAGATAGTAATATTAAAGTACAAGAACAAGTGGGAAAGGGCTGGGTCCGTCCACCGAAGACAAGTCTCTGTTTTGTGCCTTCGTATAATGAATGGTGTGCTGATCTTTTTAGTGCAGTGCGGGGCTATTATACCTGTAAGCATGAATGGTGGCCAAGACACACTGCTGAGGGCAGACCGAGAGAGCAGGATTCCAGCCAGACTCCGTCAACACGTGGGAAACCTTCTGCCACAGAAGCTGCAGGCATTGAACGTGGTCTCAGGTTATGCACAAGGATTAGGAGACTCTAGGAGGAAGGACGGATGGAAACCTACAGCTGAGCCCCTTCTCCATGCCAGGTTCCGTGCTAGGCACCCTCACGTGGGATTCTACCTGATAGCTTATAGCTGCACTTTGAGGACGTGGAGAATCAGAAAGGTAAAGCAACTTACACAAGGTCACAAAGCTACTGGGTCTGGTTGCTTGGATCAGCGTCAAGGTCACTAGCAGCATTCTTTGATATCCACGACTACGTCAACATCCCGGCAAAGGCATCAGCGGCCTTCAAGCTCAGGTGTCACACAGCAGAGTCGGCGCAGGAGGAGAATAAAGCGCTGGTGCTCAGGTGGGAGCTGGATGCAAGGATGGGACCCGCCTCCCCAGACTCAAAGAAGCCAGAGCCAGGCGCACGTGCGCAAGTCGGAGCTCTGCCCTTCAGGGCAGCCTTCGTGTTCAGGGACCAGTGAGTGTGCACAGCAGTCCTCAGAGGGAGGCATTTTCACCCTCATTTCATAATTTAGAACTTGCCCCGGTTCACACACGTATTAAGTGGCAAAACAGGGATCTGAACGGAGACCTCTGGGTTAGGAGCCTCGTGTGTTCTCCTCTTCACAGGGGTTATTTTAGCTTTGGTTACTACATCTGCAGGTGCATCTGGAGTCACAGACAGTCTGGAGGCACAAAGGCTGGGTCCGTTGTGGAAGGTCTGTCAGACTTCTATAATTTGTTTTTAATATATATTTTTTAAGATTTTATTTATTTATTCATGAGAGAGAGAGAGAGAGAGAGGCAGAGGGAGAAGCAGGCTCCCAAGGAGTAGGGAGCCCGATGCGGGACTCGATCCCAGGACCCTGGGATCATGACCTGAGCCGAAGGCAGACGCTTAACCATCTGAGCCACCCAGGCGCCCCTTCTATAATTTGTTTTTAAGATTTTATTTATTTATTTGACAGAGAGAGACACAGCGAGAGAGGGAACACAAGCAGGGGGACTGGGAGAGGGAGAAGCAGCCTTCCCCACCGAGCAGGGAGCCCAATGTGGGGCTCGATCCCAGGACCCTGGGATCATGACCTGAGCCGAAGGCAGACGCTTAACCGACTGAGCCACCAAGGGGTCCCAGACTTCTATAATTTTTAAATAACATCAGAATCCTTAAAACAAGAAGACCATGCGCTTGTCTTTGGGAGCTCTAAAAAGAGACAGCCTGAAATTCTACAACCAACCCTGCAGCTAGTCTCCTGGGGACAGACTGCGTGAGATGGCAGCACCACAAAGCTCGCAGCCGCGGGGGGGGCTGTGGCCTGCCTGCTTCTCAGTCCTACGGGCCCCATGGAGGAGTCTCCTTCCCATCAAAAACAGCACTGACAGCTTCTCCAGCCTGGATCCTCCGGCCAGGCTGCGAAGGCTCCCAAATCCACATGTGTTAAGAACACAAGTAACTTGTAACCGCACAGTACCTTCTGTTTACAATAAGTTTCTACATATACCGAAAGGTGTGGAAAAACTCTCCGAGTTTCTGTCTCTCAGAAGACTGAAAACCTGACCTTGCCCAGACAGCATGCAGGAGGCCTAAGAAACCCTGATTTATAGGTCCTGGGGGTGGGGGCAGAGAAGATGTTGAGCAGCATCACTCAACAAGGACTGCTTTGTGTAATTCTCCCATCATTTTCTTGGTTGACATTTGCACTCACTGAAAAAAAAAAAAAAAAAAAAAACCTCTCAGTTTTCCCCAGAACAGCTGAGAATGCACAGATCCCAGCCTTTAGGTTCAAATCATCCCTGTCAGTAGAGGATTGAGGACCATTGTCAGGCAGCTGGTGGACCTGTAGGAATTTCCCAGTCCCTGGGCTCTCTCAAACTACCCCACCCCCCTGGTGCTGGTGGGGGCGGGGGGCGGGGGGCGGGGGGCGGGGGGGGAGATGCCCAGCAGGGGCTGAGCTCACCTCTGACCCAGCTGCTCCCAGCTCAGCACACCAGGGGCCACCAGGGCCTGAACATGCACCATTCCTCAGAATGCACTACCCCATGCCAACAGCTGCATTCAAACACCAAGGGGCACTGCAAAATGTTAGTAAAACGCAACTTGAAATTTCAAAAATAAAAATTCAACAAATGGACTATAATTTGCCTGGAGACATTCTTGGCTATTAAGCGATTGTTACTCTGCTAACTCAATAAATGTGCCTTCTATTAAACGGAATCTATTAAAATAGTACATAGACTTTTGCACCTCTAAACCCAACTTTTCCTCTGTGCACGAAAAGCTTCCAATTTGCAGAGAGCAGACATGCCTGTGTATAACTAAAAGGCAGATATTTGCATGTGGACCTTTACCTTGTAGATCCCTCTGATTAACTGCAAGCTAAAGGCTGACTGATTTGCATGTCTGGGGAAACATCTTGCTTTGTTAAGGAGAAAGCAGTAGTTCTAGAACTTGGTGGTTCTCAAGAGGAACAAATGAAATAATTTTTTGGGTGAGGGCAGTGATACAGCCCAGAGTTAGATATTTAAATCAGTGTTTTGAGGGGCGCCTGGGTGGCTCAGTCAGTTAAGCCTGGGCTCAGCTCAGATCATAATCTCAGGGTCCTCGGATCGAGTCCCACATCAGGCCCCTTGCTCAGCGAGGAGCTTGCTTCTCCCTCTGCCTGCCACTCTCCCTGCTTGTGCTCTCTCTGGCAAATAAATAAAATCTTTTTAAAAAAACCAATCAATCAATCAATCAATCAATCAATCAGTGTTTTGAGAAGAGTCTGCACAGACCCTGTGCCTTCCACTTTGCTTCTACTTACAACAGCAGATGCTGCAACACGGTAGGTAACTTACAGCCCAGGAAAGTATATGGATTTTAATTTGGGATAATTCTGCCGACTTTCTGGCCCCCGTCAGTTAAAACACTTGTGACTAGTCAGTCAGCTCCGCTCATGCAAACTGATGAAACATCACCATGTCCCACCACATGCCCCCACGGCGCAAGGGGCCGAAGGAATTGGGCACCCCGCAGCTGTTCCCAGGAATGCATGCCTCCACGTACCCACAGGCAGGAAGAGGACCCGCACCGGCCTCCCAGAGCTGATCCTTCGGCTATCCCGACAACACAGACATCTCAACAACAGGAACCGGTCCCTCTCAGCCCAAGGAAGGTCCCAGATTCAAATAAAAATTCACCCTTGAAGATAAGTGAATCAAAGGGACAGCAGTCAAACAAACGCTAATGTCGGGAGGAAATCCTGTCTGCAGACCTCTCCTGCAGAACAAAGGCTTCTTCTGTGACATCAAGCAGCAGGTTTAAGAGCGCCCTGGCTTCTCGCTTTGGCCACCTTTCAAAACCACAAGTACATCCAAGGGCAGCCAAGACAACAACAAAAGCCAAGAGATACAGTCTCCAAATGAGGAGAGACCAACTCTCCCTTCCAGGCTTGCCTTCTGCCTGGCTCTTGGTGGCCAAGACTCCGTTTCCCCAAGGTGGGTGTACAAGGTGCCCTGGGTTCAGACTCTGGGGACTGCAAGCTTTCCCTGCAAGAGGACAGCTCAGAAGATGCCTGCAGCCGAGGTCAACCTTCTTGGGAGGCTGTGGAACAGAGTGTCTGGGGAAGGCCCCACAGTACTCTCTGGGTTCTCATCCTAGCTCAGTCCCACTAGGGTCTGATCTCAGGTGCCTCAACAACCCTGAACCACTTTATCGGACTGTGAATAAGAGCAACAGTACGGCTGCTACTCATGATAAAATCTGCCATGTCCCTCGCACAGGCTTAGGATGTTCACACAGGGTAATTTATGAACATAACCTTGACAATATTTTGAAAACTATAAAATGTAAGAGAGAGTAATTTTTGGGCCTAGGACTCATGTTTATAAGACAGCTTGGTAATACAAATTTTTAGGTCAAAGGGGAGACTTCCTCTGCTTTGCCTGGGGTCTTCCACAGGATGGATATTCAATTAATATGCAATTATAATAAGGGTGACTTTTTAACGATTAATGAGCTAAATGTTTGTTAGGAAAACAGCAAACTTGCAATTTATCAGAGTATTTTACAAGACAGAAAGGTGTTGTCTGGTGGGTTTCCCTCTGAGTGTAGGTGGGGTATACAAGAAAAGTGGGTCTGGGCTTTCCCAGATGGCCCCACTATCATCATGCCAACACCAAATAGGACAAAAATGGAAGGCTTTCAGACTTGACATCCGGGCAAGTCACTGTCAGCTGAAATTAACCTTTGAATTCACTATGAAAAGTAGCAAATAAGGCCAAAAAGTTTACCTCAAACAAGCCAAAAAAAAAAAAAAAATCAATAATCTTGTTAAAAGTAGACCTAACTAGTCTCACTCCCTGGGGTCAAAGATCCAAAACTCTTAACTTTTAAAAGCTCCCAGCATGGGGCGCCTGGGTGGCTCTGTCAGTTAAGCATCTGCCTTCTGCTCAGGCCAGGATCCCAGAGTCCTGGGATCAAGCTCCTTGTGGGGCTCCCTGCTCAGTGGGGAGTCTCTTCTCCCTCTCCCTCTGCCCTACCCCCCCCCACTTGTGCTCTCTCTCTAATAAAATCTTTAAAAAATAAAAATTAAAAGCTCCCAGCTTCCAGTGGTGAGTGAGCAAGAGCAGAGGGTGGCTCGTGTTTTCATAGCAACTGAGCTGTAAGAGCGGAGTTAGGATTAGAAATGCTCCTTCTCCCTGATAGCAGTTCTTTTGAGGCGCCTTCGGCAGCCCTCCCTCTCCGGAGCCCCAGGTTCTCATTCATACCTTTTGTCCCTTACTTTTCACACACACAAGCTTTATGCGTTGATCCTGTGGCTTGTTCCAAAAAGGAACTGAGGCAAATAATCTTACTAGGAATATTTAAAAGGATGAAAATAATGATTCAGGTACTCTGAACTCCTCAAAATTGGGAACACCTCAAGATAGTTTTTAAAGTGTATTACATGGGGCGCCTGGGTGACTCAGTCGTTAAGCGTCTGCCTTTGGCTAAGGTCATGATCCCAGGGTCCTGGGATCGAGCCCCGCATCGCATCAGGCTCTCTGCTCGGCGGAAAGCCTGCTTCTCCCTCTCCTACTCCCCCTGCTTGTGTTCCTTCTCTCGCTATGTCTCTGTCAAATAAATAAATAAAATCTTTAAAAAAAAAAATAAAGTGTATTCCATGAACAAATTATAGGGGCATCTGGCTGGCTCAGTCGATAGAGCATGCAACTCTTTAGGGCCGTAAGTTTGAGCCCCATGTTGGGGGTAGAAATAAGTAAATAAGTAAAATAAATAAAATTACTCAAAAAAAAAAAGGTAAATAAATAAACTTTAAAAATAACAAAACCTATTAATAAGACCAGGGAGCAGAATGGGATTTTAGGATCCTTTGACATGACCTTCTCACTCAGCATAATCCTGAAGGATATGCGTTTGTTACTTCCTGTATTCGCCTTTAACAATGAGATATTTTAAGTTAAGGGAAAAAGTTGTGAATTTGGATGAATGTAGTTCTGAATGATAAACAAACGTAATCCAGTGGTGCTTGTTAAATCTTCCACAGCCTGGACTTCAAACTCAGGACTTGCGCCCACCTCCTGATAAGATCTTCTGCAGAGATCTGACCTCTGATCAAGTCATTTTCAAATCAAAAAGCTTTGAACTCCTGGCAGGTTGACGGCTTGGATCTTGGGTGTTTATCAAGAGCTTCCTCAAGATTGAAAGGGTGACTCCATTGCCAGCCCCGGCTCCCCAGAGCTTCCCCTTCGTGAGAGCTGGCACCCAGCCAGGACCTTAGAACTTCAAGGAATGGGTTTATGCATCACCTCCATAGGGCACATAGTAGACACGTAGCTCATTACAGAGCTTAACTTACTAAATAAAAAGTGGCTACAGTAAGTCACGGAATCACTGGCTCTGACTCCACCTTGCGCAGCCTGGAATGAGTGCTTGTTTTTGGCTGTCCAGAAGCTTTCTCTTTGCTGCCTCTTGACCTTCACAAGAGGGAATGATGACCGTGCCCCTTCTCATCCCTACCTGTTTAATGCCAGTAACTCAATATGAACAATACTGTGCACAGGTATGCACCTCCACACTGACCTGGGCCCCCAGCAGGCTGGCTGCGAGCTCTCCACGCTGGGGGGTCACCCACCTACACTTTGCAGAGCAGGTGCAGGGCTTTCTAACACCCAGGACACCCTGGGGAACCTTCTGAGCTGACGTCAGAAACATTTCAGGGCTCTCCGATGCTTTCTACAGAGAATATGTGGGCCTCCATTTATTTTCTTCTTGTACGACTACAATTATGCACCTAAAACGAATTCTGACCTCCTACCCTCCTAGCTCTCTCCCAACATCTGTACTGTCCGCCTCTCAACTTGCGACACTGCAGCCACAGGCCACACCAGCTTCGTTTGGGGTTTTTTCAAACATGCCAGACTTGTTCCCAACCCCAGTGCTTTGCACTGCTCTCCCTATGCCTGGAACAACCTTCCTCTGGTTCTTCCCATGGCTGCCTTCTCTCATTATGCAGGTCTTAGCTCAAATATCATCTCCTCAGAGACCTGTGCACGTTATAAAAAAGATACAAGCCTAATAAACCTTCAGTCTGTCAAAATTTCCTCTATAGCACTTAATATAATCTGCAATTAACTTGTTCATTACCTGGGCCCTTCACTAGAATATTAGCTCTGGGAAGACACCATGTCAGATGCCCCATTGCTATTCTGTTAGTTCACATACTTCCTCATCCTATAAAAGGGCAAGAGCAGATTGCTGGAACGATTTGGTTGCCAGAACATCTTGAAGGTCGGGCCAACCCTTAGTTCAGATACTAAGAGGGACTGGGCAGAATTTTCTTGGTGAAGCACCGGTGTTTACAAAATCAGTGTAGGTGCTCAATATATAGATATTGAACAAAGAAATGAGCTAGCATCCAAGTGGCTTTCTTTGCTGCAGGGTTGGACAAAAAGAGACACCAGGAGATACAACAGAAGGAACCAGCCCCTTCTTGGCCAGATAACATCACAGATTGCTGATCTTCCCCAGCAGGAAAGGGAAGTCAGTTTCTAAACCAGCTCTAACAAGCAGAAACTAGTCACAGCCAGGCCCAATACAAACCCGGACAAGAAGCTTTTATAACCATAAGGCTTATTTACCCAGATCCCTTGTGGGTAGGAGGAATCAATCCTTGTTCTAAAGTATTCTGAAGCTGACCCGATGATGTAGCCATACCAAATTTTACTTCAGCATGTTGGAGAAGCAGCTCCTAATTTATAGCCATCTTGGCATCTCTACAGAATTGGGTGGACATAGTTCAGAATCTGATGTTATAATAATAATAAAAAAAATGCCCTTGTGCTTCCTTTTGAGGGACTTAGTGATATTATGGGAAGTTGGCTGTAAAAATACTCTCAAATACTAGATACTAAGAAATGGTTAAAGTTTTTAGGTGTTACAGTTTTTTATGTTATATTTTTTAAAAATAAGAGTACTTATCTTTGAAAGACACATACCAAAATATTTACAGAGAAAACAGGGGCTGAAATTTACTTCAAAATAATTGCAGAGGAAGGAAAGTGGGCGGGAGTACAGACAACACGGGACTGGGACTGGCCCAGGCCCAGAGTGGCTGAAGTGGGGTGGTGGGTCTTTGGGAGTCAAACTATTTGCTCTACTCTGTACAGCTGACATATTCCCTAACAGAAAGGCTTTTTTTTTTTTTTTTTTTTTAAAGATTTTATTTATTTATTTGACAGAGAGAGACAGCTAGAGAGGGAACACAAGCAGGGGGAGTGGGAGAGGGAGAAGTAGGCTTCCCGCCAAGCAGGAGCCCGATGCAGGGCTCGATCCCAGGACCCTGGGATCCTGACCTGAGCCAAAGGCAGACACTCAATGACTGAGCCACCCAGGCACCCCCAGAAAGGCTTTTTTAAAAAGCCCTTTAAGCCAAGTCATTTTCACTTGTGGAATTAAAGAAGTTACCTGAAGGGGCACCTGGGTGGCTCAGTCTGTTGAGTGTCTGACTCTTGATTTCGGCTCAGGTCATGATCTCAGGGTCGTGAGATGGAGCCCCACACTGGACTCCACGCTGGGTGTGAAGCCTGCTTAGGATTCTCGCTCTCCCTCTGCACCCACCCCATCCCCTCCCCGCAGGGTCTCTAAAAAATAAATGAATAAATAAATAACAATAAATAAATAAAGAAGTTACCTGAAGGTGAAGGTTTCCCCTTTCCAGTCTTGCAGGGGGTGCTCCTGGATGATGGCCGGGGTCAGAGGGGAGTTCTGCCGTGGGGACTTGGAATGGGGCAGAGTCCCCATGTGACTGAAGTTATCACAGGACCTGATGGGAGGAGGGCCTTTTTTCTTCCGTGGGAGGGTACCATGTATAGACACGTCTTGATAGGCATCTGTGTGATGCTCAGCCGGAGGGGACTTGCTGCTCAGAAGGTCCATGGACGAGGCTAGAGGGAACTGGTGATTCACCGGCATGTTTCTGGGAAGGCTCACAAATTTTCCCGCAGCCATGATTCTCAACTCCTCTAAGGGGAAAAGAAAGAGCAAAGGCATGAATCTTAGACCATCATAAGAACTGACTTCCTACTCACAAAAGGAAATGGAAATGTACAGTTTAACAAAAGAACAGGTTCGTGGAGCATTAACAGACAAACAGTGCATGGCATCACTGGTGAAATTTAATACAAATGGGAAGTTTATTCATGTCCCTTTTTTGATCCTACAGAGGAATTCTCCTGGGTTAGCAACAAATCCCCGGATGGAAAAGGGCAACCATGTTTCAGAGACTCCAGAGGCACATGAACCATTTTATTATTTCAGAGGATGCTAGCATGGCAGATGCACTGAAACTGATGGAAAAGCATGACTAACAAAAAAGACTATTGAGGAAGTACTCAAGGTTTCGATATAAGTGCATTAGAGAACACAGTATAAATGTTAATTAGCTCATGTCTTTCCACCACCGTGTACGTGATAAGAACAGGTGGAGATTACTGGAATTCCTCAGCTGCTAGAAGGCCTCCAGTGCCAGATCAACCCCTCAGTTGTGCTACCCAGGGCAACGGGGCAGAATTTTTCCGGCAAAGACCTGGTGCTTACAAATAAATCAATGTACTCTAATTAACGAAGACGGGCCAGGGTCAGGGGTGAGGAGGTAGGTCACTCCTCCATACATCAGTGGACTCAGCTGCAGAGGAAAGCCACTGGGGTGAGGGATCCACGTACACTGTCCCCCAGAGGGGTCGGGAACCCGCCTGCCACCAGCAGGGTTAAGCAACACGCGTGGTGCCTGTGTAGTCAGGGAAGAGTGGGAAGGAAGAGAAATAAGACAAAAAGGGGGTAGAGGGGAGAGCATGGAAAGAAAAGGAAAATGTGTACTAGGTCGTATGCAAAAGCAGACCCAACAATTATGCCCAGTTATGATCACTAGTAGAAACGTTCGCCCCGAGCAAGAGACAGCACCCACTCACCTCCCTCCAATAAACAAACTATGGTTTTGACCTAAGCCAAATTATGTAAGTCATTTTTAAGGCCAACGTGTAGAGAAGAAACACACGCCTGAATAAAAATTAGAACTAGTCCCTGGAGACATTAAGGATCCAGAATCTGTCCCACCCGCCAGGGCACCAGACTGGTCTGGACAACACAGCAGCACAACTCCGCCTGCCTGATGCACTGGCCTCCCCGAGATTGGGGAGCAGAACATTCCTTTGCTCTGCAGTCTGTTCCAAAGCCCCGCAGCCCCCATTCCCCACAGGCCACCCTTTCCACTGCAAAGACGACGGCTCGGAGTGAAAATCATCACTTAATAGTACCCCTGCAGAGTCAGTTCCACAAAGGAACTGGGGCCTTGGGACACCGCTTGAAGACAAGCAAGAACACTGCTCCAGAAGCTCATGGGTAGCATGCAGATCCGAGATAAAGGTAGCGCAAGGGAAACAACAGACAACAAAAACATCCACAATCCGTCGCTTCACCTGCAACAGACAGAAACACAAGCGCTGGGGGCTGGAGGGAAGGAAATCCTTCACTCAAGGTATATAATCCTAAGGCTGTCCTCAGTTCTTTCCCAAACCTGATCATTCTGGGGCCTGTCTGCTCCACATCTGTGACCACACAGAAGGCCTGGCTCACGGAGGGCGCGGAACAATAAGGCTGTGAGTCGCCGTGTGGGCCGCTCCCGGGTCTGGCCAGTACCGGGCACACGGTCAGCACTTACTCAATGTTAGTCATCATTATCTAAAAAGAAATCCAAGCTCCCTGGCCCTCCCCGCCTGACCACCAGTGATGTAAGCCGACTAGGATTCCCTTACCCTGCGCGCGCGCGCACACACACACACACACACACACACCCTCTCCCCCCCACAGCTGTGAATGCTTGCCTGTCCAAACTGTCAGCACCCTCTTCAGAGAGAGGCCTAGATCATTCCAAAGAACCTGCTGGGGAGGCCCAGGGCAGCCCACAGAACCTCCTTCTATGCAAAGGGCCATAGTGTTGATCAACTATTTCCAGGTTATTATGATGGGGTAAAGACTGCCCCAGCTCCCATGTTTCTGGCCACAGGTTTCCTCTCTGCTTATCCAAGATCTCGATTTCAAGATTGGGCCAAAGTGCTCAAGAATGCCCTTCAGCAAGTTTCCCATACCTCAGTTTATTCTCTGAGTTGAGGGTTAACACCTGCCCTTCCTACTTTCGATTCAACAAATATTTAAATACTTCCTCCATATAAGATACTCAGAGAATCAATGCCGTATAAGCCCCAATCCCTGACTAGGAACTCTATCCTACGACTCATCAATAGGGACCCTTCACATGCTGGAGGGAAGAATAATTACTTTGAACAAAATGACTTGAGGAGGATCTCAGAGAGGGCAATGCTGGAGACGAAGCATTTTGGAGGGATTTTGAAAGGTCGAGAATTGTACGGAAAAGCCTTCTGAGAGGATGCTAGCATGGCAGATGCACAGAGGCAAGGAGGTGCCTCCAAGGGCTCACGAACTACAAGCTGGGCTGTGTGGCTCGCATGGAGACGTCAAGAAGCATTTCCCAGAAGCCCAGCTTAGGACTGTATCATGAAGTCTTAAAACTGTGTCGAGGGGTCTGGACTGGACTGTAGGTGCTAGGGAAGATCTGGAAGGGAGCGATAGAAGCCAGTCTGTGCCCAGGTAGGTAACTCTGGTGCTTCTGGAAAGAAGGGAGGCAGGCAGGCCAGTCAAGCTGTTGGCCACAAGCCAGCGAGGAAGGATTTCAAACTCTGTCCTCGGGCAGTGGCCAGGCAAAGGAGGGACAGAGGGAAAAAGGAGGAACTCAAGGCCACACCCACGGGAGGACAGTAGGATGCTGTAACATGCTGAGTGGTAAAGAAGAGGACTCCTGGGGGAGGGAGGCTGACAAGCTGGCCACTGAGCTGGGGAGCGTGAGGAGCCAATGGGGCAGTTCAGTCTAGGAGGTAAGATACGGGTATGTTCACTAAGGAGCCAGGACAGGATGTAGATTTTTAAGAATCATCAACATAAAGGGAATATTTAAACCAGAGAGTAGATCCCTTAGCTTGTTATTATCAGCTGTGATAACAGATGTGAAGGTACCTCTTAAACTGTCAGGAACCATACAATATCCATGAATTATATCCCTGCTCTCTCTCACCATGGCTGCACCTGAAGGCGGGGGCGGGGAGGGGGGGGCAGTCCTCAAGCTGGTTGCATGTAAGAATCCTCTGGGAAGCTTTTAAAATCCTGGCACCCGGGGCGCCTGGGTGGCTCAGTCGGTTAAGCGTCTGACTCTTGATTTCGGCTCGGGTCATGATCTCAGGGTTGTGGGATCGAGCCCGGCATCTGGCTCCGCGCTCAGCCTGGAGTCGGCTTGTCTCTCTACTCCTCCCCCTGCTTATGCTCGCTTGCTCTCTCTTTCTCAATAAATAAAATGCCAACACCCAGCGAAACCAGAACCTTCGTGGGTACAACCCTGGCTTCGATCTTCTGAAAGCCACCAGTACTGTCCAAAGTGGAGCCAGGGATGAGGACCACCGGCTAAGCAAGTCTCTTTGGTCCCGAGCAACTTACACTCAGATTTGGCTACCCAAGGAACAGAACAGAATGACAATGAGGAGGGGGCAGTAAATAGAAGCATCAATTCATTCTTCTCTTCACCACACATATATGTAAGGCCTCCTACATGGTGGGGCACTGTGACTGGTATTGGGGACAGTGTCAAACAACAGTACTCACGAGGTTACTACTCTGTGGTGGAAGCAGACAGACCATGTGCTGGTGATTCCCAGTGCTACTGGAGCACACAGAGTGGGGCCCAGGGTCTAGACCCAGCTAGTGGCCAGAAAAGGCTTCCCTGCGGATGCGATGCTGAGCTGAATGATGTGAAGCAGAGTTTAATAACTGGAGGGAGAAGATTATTCAAGCTGAAACCTCCAGAGAAGTCTCAGCTGCAGACAAATTGGAAATATGTAAGTCGGGCTCCCCTCTACAACCCACTGCCCCTAAATTGGGACTCTTCCCCCATTAAAATCCAGGCTTGCCCTATGTGTACTCACTTGGAAGACTGGCTCAACCTGGGCCCTATGTCAAGCTTGAATCAGCCTAAGAGTGGCAGAGGTGGGTGCAGATCAGAGACAGAACTCCTAAAAAATATAGCTGAAAGTGGGGCATGGGGTAGAAGGGGAACCATAGGTGGAAGAAACTCATTTACAACCTTACTACAGGGTAGTCCCTGTATTTCCTACTTGAGCTTTATTTGCTTTTATTTTTTCCAGACTCTAGAAACCTAAGGCAAATCCAAGGGATAGAAGTACATGGTGTGTAGCTGGAATCTAGGTTCAAGGTAAGTATCTTTCATTTTCTTTTGAAGATTTTATTTATTTGAGAGAGAGGGAGAGCA